TCATCGGATACCCCAAAAGATCAGAACTGGGAATAATTAAACTTGAATTGGTCACTTTTCCCTCCATACATACATAAGCTCAGCTCACCCTATGTCATATCATAACAATATGAATTATAAAAAATCTTGTTCACGTTGCCATTCAACATCTAAGTCGATCTCGCATGACATATCTTAGTCACATGCAGTGCCTATACCGTGCAACCGGTGCATGGTGAGCACCATGCACCCATGGTTATATGAGATGTAACTCGTGTGATTCGAGGTGTAACTTCAAGCTAATCAAAATTTAAATTGCACTCATTCACATGTAACTCGTTAAAATGTAAACTGCTTTTATTGAAATGTAACTTGCATTGGGGAACAAATTAGATGTAATTTGGGACATGTAACTTTAGGCTATTGAAATGTAAAATGTTTTTACAGAGATGTAACTTCATATATATAATTTTACTAGTTTTGTACACGCGCGTTGCGCGATTGGGTATGCCCAATATTATGCCCAATTTTATAGGGTCCTATAAAAGTCAAACTCCACATGAAAAGAACAAAAGTCAAGTTCAGTTAGAAGTCACATTGTCTAACACATTGTCCTAGAATGATAATTCGTCTATCTTTCGGATCCAGAATTGATAAAAATCCACACAAAAACTACAAATATTCAATACATTATAGCCAGCAACCCGAACCATATATTGTTTCTCCAACTGTATCGTATCTTTTTGTATCAATGATGTAGCTGCAATAAGTGATGCAATAATCATTCGCAAAGAAATGAAATCTAGGGAAAACTTGAAAAGGAAGAATCATTTAAGGAAAAGCCTATTAAAGAAAGTTTTCCAATACTTTACAACTGAATTCTACCATGTACTGGTTCTAATTAAGCTTAAACACTACAAATCTACCCATCAAGGTAAGAATAAAAGCAAATAATCTAATTCTTGTTGGAATGAAGTGTTAGAATAACCTACATTTAAGCACACTTTAATACATAACAGAAAAACTGAATATTATCACTGGATCACGAAAGGCAAACCTAGTTTTTTCATTAATTTTCTACCCTACTACCCCTATTCTAATAAATTAATTGCACCCCTACTTTCTTTGGGCAACCAGGTCAGTCCGTTGGTGGGAGGTCAGTCTGTTGGTGGTTGGGCAATCCGGAGGTGGCGGCAGCGGTGGCAGACTGAGTGGGGAATCTTTAGTAGTGGGAATCTGGGCGTCGGTGTCGGGCGGCGGCAGTGGGCAGAGGTATTTTTATCCAATAAAATTCCTGTTTTGAGAATTTTGCCTTTTGATCATGTTTTGCTCAGATTAGAATCAACTCCAAACCATTTTAATAATAATAGCAATGAAATGAAAAAGGCTGGAGTTTTAGAACTCAGTGTTCTATATGAAATAGATTAAGCTATTTAACTTGATCTTTAATACTACGTATAATGTTTTCCATGAAGAGGGCCAAACCAAGTGAAATAACCAAGTAATCAATACCTTAGATTTTACCAATTTAAATTTTTCCTTATGAAGTCGTGCCGAATTTTGCCACTTTTTTTTCTCAAATAGGCTATGTATATATATGTCTAATACTCTAATGTCAAACTAAGCAAAAAAGAAACAATTAGGGAGGGCAAAGGCAGAGCAAGTAAAAAACTATAACGTCTGCACTCACTTCCTAGTCCAGTTCATATTTAAGAGGTAAAAACCAACTCGATGAATGAGAAAAAATTAAAATGGATGAGTGGAGTAAAAATGATGTAAAAATTAAGACAAGGCGATGCATCTTGGACAGGTGGGAGGGGGACAAAACTTAGTTATCAAAATATTTAAACAAAAATAGCAATACATCAAACACCTTATTGGCATAGTTTACACTCACCTATCAATTTATCATAAATTTTCACTCCAGGGAAAACTAATTCAGATCACCAACATAAAAGAAAGTAAAAAAAGCAGATGACATGTGGCGGTGAAGTTAAAACAACTTTTGCATTCAAACATATTATCATACATAGCAATATGGTGCATTAATATGAAAGGACATGAATACTTTTAGTACCGAGTATAGTAAAACATGATCAAAAGGCACGACGGGAGATCATGCCTTAAAAATATTATCCAATAAAATGCATGTTTTATTTAGAAGTAGAAATTCACACCGAGAAATCTATTTCTTAATCTCTTTATTAAGAAAGGCACGACGGGAATAGTTTTATTTAAATCTATTCCTGCTATGCCTCTGCCCCGTCAATTCCAAAACTTCAAACCAGGATCATGCCTCCATTTCAATTGGGATTCTTAGAACCCGTTTGGTGATCCCTTTTTTCGGCTTATCAGGCTTATCAATCAGCTTTTTCACCAAACACGTAACTTTCGATTTCGCGCGCTGAATTTTATAATAAGCAGAAAAAGTAAGGTTGAAGTTACTTTTCTGGCTGTATTGGCTGAAGTTACTGTAGATGATCATTTTAGCTATTTTTTCATATAATTTTTTATTTAATTTATTAATAACAAATATTTTAAATATAATTTTTTCATGAATCAGCAGAATCAGCCAATACAGTCACTTCAGCCAGAACTTCATAAATTTCAGCAGAATCAGCCAATTCAGCCAATTTTAGTGTTACCAAACGGGCTCTTACACTAAGATAGTTCAAACGTCTACAAATTAAGGGCACCACAAAAATGAATTCAAAATTGAATTCCAAAGTAAACAAAATTAAATGAAACTATGAATGAGTAGAAATTCAATACTCTAAGACGGAAGCTGAACAAGTCAAGTGAGGACACACGGCTAAATACAATGATTGAAGCGACTAAAGGCTTGGAGTTTAACGGAAGTAACGGAGGAAATTAAAAGAAAAAATATATGGTATAATGATGGAAGCATAATGTACAAGCACATGTTGCATTATGTTACCACCAACACATTTTACATATCAAAAATACCCTTACCCTCATTGGTGTTTATAATATTTTAGATACACACACACACACAAATGAATATACTGGGGCATGGTCTGGACTCGTGATTGCGTGAGGCAGCTGGGGTTGTGGTGGTGTGATGCGGCAGTTGCAAGGATTGCACAAGGGGGTTGTGGTTGTGGGATGGTGTTGGGCAACAATTCTGCAGGTGGATGGGCGAGGTGTTGGGCGCTGTGAAGGTTTGGGGCGGCTAGGTGGCGATGGCAGGTGGGCAGGGGCTGGGAGAGCGCTGTTGGTTTAGGCGAACGTAGTTGGAGAGGGAGGAATGATCGCCGTTTTGCGACCGGGCACACCATCCTCATGGTGCGCCGGTCGCACGATATAATCTGCGAGTCACATGTTAAGGTGCGAGGCATCGTATAATACATCAAATTTAAAGTTTGGATACATTCTTACCTTTTTATGAATACAGATTCAGGTTTACTATTAAAGGCCTGTATGAATGATGAAGTTTAAAGTGTGGATACAATTCTTTAATACACAACTTTTCTACACTATATTAATATATTGCATTTCATCCATTACAAGGGAATATTAGTCTATATAAATTATTTATTTATTTTGTTTATTATATATAATTAATGGGTCATAGAAATTGAGGATAGTGAATATCTAGAGAGAAATAGGAGCAAATCCAGAGTGAAAACTTTGTATAATAAATTTGGCAGAACAACAATGCATAAAATTTCGGATCTCTTTCTCAAACCGGTGGGCCACAAGGGTTAGGTCTCGAGTTCGAATCCCGGCAACTGCGATGAGGGGTTACTATGCTGAAAAATGCATAGGGCTTCTGCAAGTACCGGGGACAGAGCCCCACTCTCTATCTGTCAGATTGTGATTATAGTCCAATTTACATCCTCCCATCGTGCCGTCCGGTCGGTGTTGGGGGGCCCTCAGGAATGGGGTGTCATCCTTTTCGGATCTCTTTCTCAAATGGGGAATGTGCTAGGTATAATTATATGCAGAAGTACACGGCTTAAGCCTTTAGCCCAAAATGTTGGTTAATATGGAAATGACAAATGCCTCTTGAATAGTTGCGGAACACACCCATTGGTGACACGCTGATGTGGGGTGACGTCAACCATGGGAAACTCTATAGTGATGTAGTCCTTCAGGATCTATCCTGAAGTGAGCAATAGTGACAATGATGACAATGATGTAATCCCCTGATGTGCAGATGCCTGAAATGCCCGGGAAGTGACTAAGTATAGAAACATTAACTGAGCCGAGGTGTATCATGTCCACTCGAGCCCATCTTATGGCGTCAGCGTGAAATCCTACAGTCATAATAATAAGTACTATTATTTTGTCATTATTTCATGTTTTTTCTATACAAAACCAAACCAAATCAATATAAAATAAACCAAACAAGCCATTGTTTGATTTGAAAGATGAAATTAAATGGAACAAACAAAACTCACGCCTGTGGCGAATTGCAAGGGTTTTATAAAGATTATTATTTATAATTATCCTAAATAGGAGTAAAAGCGTTTGAGATAAACTTCAAAATAGGACTAGTATATTTTTATTTTCTAAATATGACTAATCAATATCATGTTTTGACATTACCAAGTTTTAAACATGTCCCAAGTTTAGCAATAATTTTTTTTGAATATTCTTCTAAGCCTATTATAATATATGTTCATGTTAATGTCATCATCCTTGTTTGGGATAAGACTCGAACCTGTGACTTCTTTTGGGAGATCAACAATGCTGCCATCAAAACACAAGTTTAGAGTAATTCCTCATATTTAGGAAACTAGAATTTAGTATTCACAGTGAAACTTCAAAACGTTTTTACTCCTATTTTTTAATTTCCCTTTATATTAAAGTATCAAGTTTATCACCACCTTAAGAATAGTCAAGTCTGAAGCAGATGAATCTTTGTAATCTTGATGAAATGAAAGAAAATGCATTTGCTGTGATTGCAGCCTCAAAATCACCTTTAGGCACATGGACACAAGTACACGACAGAGAATTGGGATTACAAATGCCAAAAGAAATGGCATTTAGGAGTAGTTCAAGGCCTGTGTACAATTTAGAGAGTGAGGAGTTGAGAAGTGGCAATGCTGTAAAATACAGTATCACCTAGCAAGCACAGTCCTCTTCAATATATTCATGTCATTAACAGTAATGTACTCAAAGCAATGTATCCCAGATGATAAATGATGTCGCAGAACATGACTATGGTCACCACTAAAGCTTGAGTTGAAAGAATCCTATCCCAAAACGTCCTAAGAAAGAATCAACCAAAGAAACACACATTTGTTTGCAATCAGTTCTATAACAGAACCACTCAGTCCCATCGTCCTAAGAAAATACATTTACACTGATCAAACTAGAAACACAAAACGTGCAGGCCAAATTCTAGCAGCAGTTGAAATGGAAACTGAGAAAATCCACGACAATTTTGGTTAATTGAAAGAAAAAAAACTCCAGAAATGAGCTCACTCTTGGCACAGAGAATAAATTAGCTTGTGTGGCGACGGTTCCCAAATTGGGAGGTCCATAAATGGTTTCTTAAGCCTTTCTTCTTGAGCACTGCACCAGGCTACAGCAGCATCGCATAGTTTTGAAATATCGGCAATCATGGCTCCTTGGATTTCAGCCTGCAGAAACCAAATCGAAAGTAAGAACTTCAGATGCAACTACACAGGCATGCCAGATTGAAGGTGATTGTAGGAATTACCTGAGAGAGGAACTCATCTATATACGGGTGGGGGGAGTTGTCCTCCGAGTGCGCCGGCGGTGCTGGGGCACCGGCAACGTGGTTTGACGATGATGCGGAAAGCTGGATGTAGGGTTTGTCTTGAGTCGCCTTCAAGGTGTTCGACAAATTCTCCCAGAGTTGGATCTCTGCTGCGTACTTGTGTTTGAGATTGAGGAGGGCGGCCCTCTTCCGTGCCTGGAGAATCTTGTCCGGAGACCCGCCGTCATGAAGCGAGGCGGCGATTTGGGAGTCGATGCGGGAGCGTTTTGGACGTTTGTAGACCAATGAGCCACCATCTTCAGTGACGAGCTCCCATTCGTTTGCCCAATTTGGAAACGCCATTCTCTCCCACCGCCAGAAATTTAATACCGAGTAATTATATACTCTCACTGTTTTTGCCTAAAAAAAAAATACTCGCACTGTTTTTGCCCAATTAACAGTAATTCTTCCTACCATATCATTGATATTTGCTACTCCCTCCATCCCATTTTACCTGTCTTACTTTCCTTTTTGGGTTGTCCCAAAATAAGTGTTCACTTTCCCTCTTTGGAAAGAAATATGTGGTTCACAACATTTCACTTTACTATAACCAAATCTCAACCACAACTTTTACCTTTTCAACCACTTTATTAAAATTTGTGCCAAAACCAAAGAAGACACATAAAATGAGACGGAGGTAGTACATTCTTTTTTTTAAGTATATTTTAATTTTTACTACATGTTCCTTGTTTGATAATTTTTTCATTTAAAAAAATTCAATTACACTTTTTTTCTATCTTTTAACTGTTCTTTCATACTTTTTCACTATCTCATACTTTTTGTACATTATTCATTACTTATTTATATCATTTTGATGGATAGTTTACCCGGGGGTGTCTTATCCGAGGGGTTATTGCGGGAATAGCTAGAGAGAAGTCAGAGCAAAATAGGAGGAGAGAGAGTCGATTTATTAAATGAACTCGAGATGATGTCACAATGAGAATAAGGGCTGCTATTTATAGCAACAATAAATGCGATGAGAGTACATGTTTCAGTAATCCAACGGCCGAAGGGTCACATCAATCGGGTGGCACCGGTAGTGGCATGTTCACCGCATTGAATGCGGGGGGTGGATGTGACGTTGCATTAAATGCGGTGGTTGGCTGTCTCCAAAAGGAATCTTCGATGATTGAGTCTGTTTAGCCGAAGGCTCCTCGTGTAGCTGAGGGTTTCGTGTGGCCGAAGGCTTTCGTGTAGCCGAAAGCCCTGAGATGCCGAGGGCTCAACAGCGCCGAAGGCTCCCGTTTTCTGCCATTTTCTCTCAGTATCTTCGTATGCCGAAAATGGCTATCATGTAAGTTTTGGAGCCTTCGGCCAAGGTGGCCGAAAGCACCCCAGTGTGTATTTCGGGCTTCCTTGAACATGGGCCACTATATTTGGGTCTTGGATGCTCTATGGACTCAATGGACCTTTGTGAGAGAAGTATGAGTCTATGGGTCGGGGGTTCCTGGGCCATATACTCCATCACATTTTTTCTTAAATATTGTGTCAAACCATATTGTAGCAAATATGATTTTTTGCGAGAACTATTGTAATAAATATTTTATTACAAGGGGATTGACTTTTTATTTATAATCATAGAAAGCATAAGAAAATAATACACACACACAAATACGTAGGCATCTGCCACCTTCTCAACCAATTCCAACAACGCCACCTCTGACCATTGAGGAAAATGTCAACCTGTTAAAATAAATAATGTCACCTTAATAGCAAGAGTAAAACTTGACATTTTGAAAGGGTAATAATGCAATCTTTATTGTAGAAAAATACAACAGATTTACACAAGACGTCATTGTTGTGGCGGTCGCGACTTGCAGGTGGCAGTGTTAAGAGACGACAAGCTCCTGCATAACTTTTTATCGTTATTTTATTTATTTATTTATTGTTTATTTACTATGGAGTAGGTAGTATTTTTTTTTTTTGAATTTTTTGTCTTTTATTTATGTTTACATTTTTATTACAGGGAGGGAGGCAGGCGAGCATGGGGCCGTATTGCTCGGGATCCACAAGGAGTGATTATAAATGCGAAGTGTACCTTCTACCCGGTAGATCTGTCACCAGAAGAAATGGAAGCAAAGGGAGTTAGAGTGGAAATAATTTGGACAGTCCAAGGAGGGTGGAGGCACGTGGCATCGAGTCAGATGCTTTCACGACCGTTCAAGCGGTAAATAGGGAGTGGGGAAGGTCCTATTTTGACATATGAGTGAATGATCTTAGGCAATTATTAAAAGAGAATACATCAATTTCTCTAAATTATTGTATAAAATCTGCTAAACGTTTTGCTCATGCACTTGTAAGGGCTAGCGTTATTCAGCCAAATCCTAGTTGTTGCAACAGCGTTATTCCAGTTTGCCTTGTAAACGAGATTGAGAATAATCTTATTAATTAATGAGAAGGTATTTATTTAGTTTCAAAAAAAAAAAAAAATATAGCAATTATAAACTTCTAATGATAATATGCCTTAGAATCAAGGGTGTACCTTTCGCCTAATATTGATGGGGTACTAGAAGCAGCCTTCAGAATCTCTATGGTATTAAGCCTACTACGGATCTAGGTAAATATTTAGGTGCCCCTATCATTGATGGGCGCAAGTCTAAAGACAAGTTTGCTTTTATTCTTGACCGGGTGAAACAAATGAAGATTTGCTTCTTGGAAAGAAAAGGTATTAAATATGGTTGGCCGAAAGACACTGGTTCAATCCGTGATCACAGATATACCCCAATATGTTATGCAAAGCTCTTTGATTCCCATAAGTATATGCGATAGCATCGACGAAATCAATAGAAACTTTCTTTGGGGTTATAAGGGAGACAGAAGTGAAATTCATCTAATCAATTGGGATGAAGTTTGCAAACCAAAGGAAAAAGGTGGTTTGGGCATTCGGAAAGCTCGGTATGATAACATGGCCTTAATGTCTAAATTGGGTTGAGACATCACGATGGATACTCCGAAACCTTGGTGAAAGTTTTTAAGGTGAAATATAGAGTAAAGGGTCAGTTTGGTACTCGAAGTTGCAAAAAAGGGGTCAAATAAGTCCTTATGTAGAAGATTCTGTCCGGACGTGCCATTTGAGGTGGCTCCCGGTAGAATTTTTTGATGAAATTTTTTGAGCATCTTATTCATTAAGTCTAGTTTACTCATACCAAATTTCAGCTAAAAATTCAATCGGAGAGACATTCAAATGAATTCTTGAAGATAACTGCGCTTTTAACGGCACAGTTATCTTCAAGAATTCATTTGAATGTCTTCCCGATTGAATTTTTATTTGAAATTTGGTATGAGTAAACTAGACTTTATGAATAAGATGCCCAAAAAAATTAATCAAAAAATTCCACCGGGAGCCACCTCAAATAGCACGTCCGGACAGAATTTTCTATATAAAGACTTATTTGACCCCTTTTTTGCAACTTTGAGGACCAAACTGACCCTTATCCCGTGAATTATATCAGAAACTCTTCATTTTTGGAATTTACGAAAAATCACGAACCTCTCACACATGGCGGGATATCTTGAATAGCAGGGATATCATTCAGAATGGGCTAGGATGGCAGGTCGTAAACGGTGAGAATACATCATTTTGTTACGATCCTTGGGTGTGGGATAAGCCTCTTTTATGAGGAAGTTGGATCCCCGTTAGTGGCAACTGCAGGACAAGTCAGAGTGGCGGACTTACTAATGAGTAACAAGGAATGAAATATTGCTAAACTTGATACAATACTTCCAGAAGAAGTGGTTGAGGATGTGAGAGCGATGCCTATTCTTGTGGCAAATGATTATCCCGATAGCATTTATTGGAGGCTGTCTGCAACATGTGAGTTTTCTGTAAAATCGGCCTATAATTCTATGTTTTTGTCACAGGATACTGATGACAGGAGCTTGTATGGAAGGTTCGCGTGGCTGAAAAGATCCGATGTTTACTTTGGCCTGTGATAAAAAAACAAACTGCTCACAAATGTGGAAAGATGGGGAAGGAATCTGACTGATGATAAAATATGCCCAATATGTAATAATGAGGAAGAAACAGTGCTCCATATGCTCCGGGATTGCCCCTTTGCAAGAGCAGTTTGGCAGAGGAGTTTACAAGGTGGTCATAGAATAGGAGATACTAGCTCAAGTAATCTAGAGTGGGTTCGAAGCCACTGTAACTAGGCATGGCAATGGGTCGGAGCGGGGCGGGTACCGCAAGACCCGGACCTGCCCCGCCCCGTGACCTGCACGGGTCCAAACTTGTTGACCCATGACCCGCCCCATGCATGTGGGGCGGGTTCGCCCTGCCCCGCTCCGTCGTAACCTAATTTGCTAATATGTATTTTTATTTGTGGGAAGTGGTTACCCATTGAATCTAAATAAAGTTTATCTCTAAATAATAATTAAAAATTAATATATTAAATCAAATTCATGATACGCTAAATATTTCAAAATTTAAGGAAAAATTACTCATACTTGAATAGTTAATCTATTTAATTATATTAATAATTGAATATATGTATTAAAATGCTATATATAAAGAAGACATTGATAATTCGTTGTTCATCTCATTCTAATATATATATATATATATACACACATTACAAGATAAAAAAAATTATGATTTATTGTATACACACATATGTATGTTGAAGTATATTTGTAGTATAATTTAAGAAAAAGTATGTATAGTTATATATTGAGCGGGTCGGGTCAGGGTGGCACGGGTCAATACTAATACCCGGACCCGCCCCATTTGCAAGACGGGGCGGGGCGGACTCGCCCCAAATGTCTCGGGCCAGGGCGGGTCATTGCGGGGCGGTTTTTTTTTACATCCCTAACTGTAACGCCACCAGTGATGTTTCTCGTAGAACCGCACATGCCTCAATGTTTGCATATACTGCGTGGATGATCTGGAAATCAAGAAATGGGTGGGTTTTTTAGGGTATACAAATAAATGTGGACAAGCTTATATGGAAGGCCCAATTTTTAGCA